CCTTTTCTGTTCCGGGCTGGTTCCGAGTTTGAAGAAGCAGTGGTTGGGATGGGAGCTCGCCGCATGCGGGAACTTTTTCGGCAAGCTCGCAGTTATCCCCAAGGCTGTATCGTCTTCATTGATGAAATTGATGCGATTGGTCGTAAACGATACTCTGCCAATACTGGCCATGCCGAACAGACTTTAAACCAATTGTTAAATGAACTGGATGGCTTTCATTCCCGTGACAATATTGTTATCCTGGCCGCCACTAACTCCCTAAATGTCTTGGATAGTGCTCTTTTGCGGCCGGGTCGGTTCGACCGTCAAATTTTTATCCCTCTCCCTAACTTGAAAGGACGGCGGGAAATTATTAGACTTTGTGTCCGAAAACTGTCGCTCAAATCCGATGTTGATTTGGAGGAAATTGCCGCCATGACTAAGGGGCTGAGCGGAGCCCAAATCGCTAATATATTTAATGAGGCCTCTATTTTAAGTATCCGGCAAAATAAAAAACTTGTTGATTATGAAATGATTTTTGAGGCCTATGACCGAACCTTGATGGGACCTTCCTTGACTAGCCAAACCCTCACCCCGGCCAAAAAAAGAATAGTGGCCTATCATGAGGCTGGTCATGCGGTGATTGGGATGAGTTTGCCAGAAACAATTGTCAAAAAGATTACGATTATTCCCCGCTGGTCCGCCGGTGGATACACTTGAGTTGACTTGTATGGTGAGAATGATGATGATTATTTAATTAACAAGAGCCAAATGCTAGCCCAGGTTATGTCTTCGTTAGGAGGCCGGGCTAGCGAAGAATTAGTTTTTGGTCTAGAATACATTACGATGGGAGCTTACAGTGATTTTAAGCGAGCCGCCGAAATTGTTCGCAGTCTAATTTTGCGTTATGGAATGTCGGATTTAGGGATTGTTCCCACCCAAGAGACTTTTTTTTCGGGCGAAGAAATACCGCCTGAATTACCCGAAACTGCTAAACAAAAAATCGAAAAGGAGCGGGAGAAAATAATGAGTCAATGTTGAAAAAAAGTTAAAGAAATTCTTCGAAAAAAAAGGCGAGTGCTAAACTTGTTAGCCGAAGCACTTCTAGCCAAAAATTCACTCCAAAAGGAGGATATTAATTACATTTTTATTAACCAAATTTCCCCCTATATACCCTTACTAAAATAGAAAAATCTGATGAAAAAAAAGCAAAAAAAAATCGAAACCAATAATAACTCTCAATCCCAGAGTACTTATAATATTTGACAGCAGTACAATGAGTTTATTCGTGGCCTTTATCTAGAAAAACCAATCAAAAAGCCAACTGGCAGACAATTAACTTTTAAATATTTAAGTAAATTAGCAATCGTTTTTTTTGCAGCCTTATTTACCACCCTCACTTTTTACTTTTTAATTGACCCCAATGGCCTTTATAATAGCGGACTAAATGGTCTGTTGCAAGCCATTTCCAAGTTAATAGTTGGCCGTAGCACTAATATTGGATGAACAAGTTATTACCTTATTTATTATGGTTTAGGATTATTGACTAATTTACTCTTTATTTTGATTTTGCGGACCTTTTTCAAGGCGAAATTAGAAATAATCAGCACCTCAATTTTTTATGTTTTATCTCAGATTATTTGAACTCAAATATTTGGACTTCTTAAATTGAGAGAATATGTTTTTAATCGCTTTAATCCTAGTAGTTGACAAGGATTAAGTGCCAGCAGTCAATTGTCTTTTACTTTACCTTATTATATAGTTATTGCGGTAGTCGCGGCCATTATTCATACTCACGGGTACAGTCTAATTTTCCAAGCCCAAGCTACTCCCGGTGGTTTAGAGATTTTTACTTCGCATTTTTCTTCACGCAAGGGAAAAAAGAAAATTTCGATTAGCATGCTCATGAAAGTTTTTGGCCTAGTGATTATTTTTTTGGTTACTTTGCTTAATTTTACCATGATAGAAGATAATTCCAAAATGAAAAAAAGCCTGCTGGAAAAGGAAATTAAAGAACAAAAGGAGAAGTTAGAAGCAGGAGGGCTCAAAATAGAAGAAAAAGAAACCGAGAAAATCCTAAGCGACTGAGAAAAGGAGATTAAATCTGCT